GTGTGTGTGTGTGTGTGTGTGTGTGTGTGTGTGTGTGTGTGTGTGTGTGTGTGTGTGTGTGTGTGTGTGTGTGTATGCGTGTGGAGTTAGGGTTATTACACATACGGCGTATAAAAACTCTTTCACTATTATAACTACTGATAATGATAGTTTACCATGAATATTATCTAAGTACAAAGATATATCTAATTTCAAGGAACGTAAACTAAAAAGCAAACACGTGAATCTTGGTTGTATTTTTCTTCGTCAGAGATCAGTCATGTCAGCGCGCGGCCTCGTCCTGCGCAGCTCAGCCTGCCGCAACTGGTCTTGGAGGATGGCGGCATCATTATGCTGGCCTGTGTCTCCGCTATCATTCTGCTGTATACCGCACTACTCATCGTGGTTTACATTTTAAACAGAAAACAACGGGCAAGTATACAATTATGTTTAACTTCGTTTTTTAAAGTGTTTTTTTTGTGATTTCCTATGTGATTTACTATGAATTATTAATGACAAGATTTTCTACTATATTCTAGTGCATAATGTGTATGGGACATCTTACGATTTTTGCCCAAGCTATTACGTTACTTTCTTACAGAAGGACTCCAAGCATTATCAACGAAGAAAATCACGCGCCAGCAACATCTGTGTTTGGCTGTTCCTGCTCGACAACATCGGAGGTCAGAGAATGGAGATGTTAAACCTCCTCTTCTTTCTCGTGAGCGCCATCTCCTTCAGCCAGGTCATGATGAACACCATCGATCTCAGCGAGCTGGGTGTCGACCAAGAGCAGTGGAAACTATCTCCGGACTGGACCTTCCTCGTTAGCTGTATCGTAGTCACCGCAGTTGTTTGTTTGCCATTTTATGCGCTGGAGTCCATCGTACGATGCCTGGGCAATCAGCCGAAGACACACATCAACTCGTCGAATAGAAAAGACGTAGAAAAGATCAGTAGAGTAGAGTCTCGTGAGCATCTGAACGATGGTGAGCTTCTTAAAATGTAAAGTTATTCTATCCATTTTTTGTTCTTGAAAAGGTAATTCGTGTCACGTCCTGTGTTGCCTCGACCGAGATAAGGTATTCAGCTCTTATTAACTATTACTATACCTCACAGTAGCTATGTGTCTAAATCTGCGCGGACGCTATGTATGTTTAGATAGATTCTACACGTGACAATAAAGTATATTAACAAAGAAAGTTTGCATTTATCATTTAAAGTCAATGAAACCCGGCGAGTCTTCGCTCGCAATCAGATCCCGGTTCATAAGCAGAAGGCTGGATACGTACAGGGTAAGCAATTTATGAATTCAACACTTGATGATATTAGATCAGCTACAGTTAATTTATCGATTTGTTAAAATATAGCCGATGAATCAATAATTATCGTTTCCGGGTAATTATTTACATTAAGTTAAACATTTCAGGCATATTTTAACCACTCTTCGATGTGTATGAATTTTACCTGTATGGATTACAGGAGGCCGTCACGTTCAGCATGGTGCCAATAGCTTGAGCTCTTCAACCCTTTCTGCTAGATTGCAGAGACATCATCCGGGGCGTATATCTGCTGGGAAAGAAACCTTGCGGACACATCATGGACAGCTGAATAAAAATGACAATTCTAATAGTAAGTTCTCGTTACCATTCACGACCCCCCTGCAATATGGTTTGATGGT